AGAAGCACTCTCAGTGCAAGTATGTACGGCAGAATTGAAGAAACAGAAACAGTAAAGCATTCAAAAACAAAGCAACTGAAGAAAAGAGCATCAGATATATAATTCATGCTCAGAAATTGAGCTACAAGTTCAATTAAACTGTATCGGCAGCCGCCCACAAGCGGAAAAATAACAGCTGCCGAAATACGTACATAAGCAAAAAAAAAAAAAAAAACTGTTGTACGACAAGGCAAGCTGAAGCAAAAAACAAGGCAAAAAATTCAGAAAGCGGCAAGTCTAAAGTTAAGCACATGATGAACCGCAAGATTCTGAAGACGACTGCCCGAGTTCCTATGCTTCAGCCTGAGGATCAGACTGATCAGCGTTGAGCCCCATGGTGGCCTCAGCCCCAGCAGCAGAAGAAGCGGGCTTTGCACTCTGCCGAGCCTCCCTTTCCCTCTGTTCAGCTTCCAACTCCATTCTCTCAGCTTCCTCTTCGGCTTCCTCAGCCTTAAGGATTTCAGCTTCGGCTGGAGTTGCATACTTCATATGAGGGTCTTCGGGATTCTGGACCCATTCAGCACACTTAGACCAGTCCAGCTTCGGTTCAGCATGAAGGCAGACTCTTCGGCATACTCGGAACCCGTTTCTGAAACCCATCTCATATTCCTCTTGGGTATAGACACGGACTTTGAGTAGAGCCTCAGCATCAGCCAGCTTCTTCTGGGTCTCCTCCAAGTCTTCCTTGGATTTCTTCAGCTCATCAGCGAGCTTGGAGGAGGAACCTTTCAGCTCATTCAGCTCCTGCTGAACTTGGGAAGCCTTTGTCTGAGCTTGGGCCACTTCAACTTTTTGTGTCATCAGTTGATCCTCAGCCTCATGGAGTTTAGCTCTCTGAGCTTCGGCAGCAGCAGCAGCCTCTGAGAGTTGGACATCTTTGGCCCGGAGCAGCTCTTCAGCAGCCATTCGGCTAGCTTCAAGAGCTTCTAGACGTTGCTGCACTTCAGCTTGTGCAGCAGCTCCTTCCTGAATACAGCTCTCAACAGCAGCCTTGAATTTGGAGACGTCCACTCCCATATGCTCCTGGAGGAATTTCTCCCCTTCCATCAGTGGGGGAAAAACTTCCTTCTCCATAGCGTCGCAGAAGGTTTTGAGGGCTTCAGCAGCTCTTTTCTCATACTCCTCACCCTTCTGCTGCTTCTCTTCAGCTGCTGCTTGCTTCAGCTTAGCAAGCTTTAATTCCTCTTCAGCCACCTTCTTGTCGTGCACAGCAGCGTCTACCCTATCTTGTAGGGTATCTATCAGCTCTACAGTGAGAGTCTGATTGTGCACGAACTGAAAACAGGAAGACAAAAAATAAATAAATAATAAATAAAAAAAATATATAGAGCTGAATTTCAGAGGAAATGAAGACAAGGAAAATTACCTGCATCATCAGCAGTTGGTTAGACCTGGCTGGGTCAGGAACTGATCTGCTGGATTCGCCCATCCCAGCAGTGGCCTTCAGCGACCAGATCCTTTCCCTATCTACTTCGGACATGCCAGCAAAATCGCCGAAGTAGGCTGCAGCTCCTTCTCGGTTCTGACCCCATATGAGGTCCCAGATGTGGTCTGGGATTGGAATTCGGGGGGCCGAGAAACCCATTTCTCCAGATTGCAGAGTCTGGAAAGAAGGGAAGGATGACGATGGAGCTTGATTAGCTTTGGATGGCTCAGCATCATCCTTCTCAGAGGAGTCAATTACTATGACCTCCTCTTCTTCAGGGGTGAGGACGAAAGCCTCAACCTCTCTTGCGATGTCTGCCGTGAAGCCCTCAGCACTGGACATCACGGCATCCTTGTTTTCGTGCTCAGCAGCACTCTCCCTAATTTCTTCTTGGACCCCTCCCTTAGATTCGGGAGTTCTCTGATCCACCTCCATCTCAGGAGGTGGCGGAGGGGTCTTTTGAGGTGATTGGGGTGGTGGCCGGGGAACCCTCGGCGATCCATTGCCTTCCTCGGGTTCCCTTATTGCAACGCCGATGGTCATCGGCCTCCTCTGAAAGTCATGAGGGCCGATGATGGCCATCCTTCGGCGCCTTTTCAGAAGGGGCTGCTCGTCCATATCTGAGTCTGAGGACTCTCCTTGTATTTGATCTTCGGGACGAGCAGGAGCTTTCCCTTCTCTGTGTCTGTTACTCTCTTCAGACTGTAACAGACAGGGGGGAAGGAAGAATGTGAGTAAAAAAAAAAAGAAGAAAAGAAAAAAGAAAAAGTTAAGTCTGAAAGCTCACCGAGGTCTTCAGCAAAGCCTCGTCTTCTTCAGCTGCTCTAGCTGCAGCTTCTGCTTCAGCAGCTCTGGAGGACCCTTCTCCTCCTTCGCAAGCTTTGAGAACCCGTGCAACCTCTTCGGCTGTGCGGGCAGCTTCAGCTTCTTCGTCCAGCAGCTGAAACCAGGGGTCTCTCTTCTTCCACCAAGGCTTCTGCCTCTGATACAGAGCAACAGCCTCAATTTGGAAGTGGGAAGAGTCTAGATGAACTTCCCTATTCCTCGGCTCAGTGATAGACGGGGCCCGTTCAGTTACAACTCGTTCTCGGTTGACACCAAGACGAGCGTAGTTAATGCCAACGTTGGTCTCGTCCCGCTCTGAAAAAAGGAAAGGGGAAAGGTTAGCTCAGATAGGTTGGCACAGCATAAAAAAGCGAAGCGAGAGAAGAAAAAGAGATAGTTAAAAAGCCTCGGCCCCAGCCGAAGAAGCTTACCATCCTTAAACTTTCGGCTGAGGCCAACAGCTGCTAGCATGTTCTCTTGGAAAACGTAATGCGTATCGGGGAGCCAAGTCTCCGGGATATGCTGCATTCGGCCACTGCCCCCCCGGTTCGGCAGCTTGCCGAAGATATGTTGCTGATCCAGGTTCGGATCCGCCCCGTTATCTGCGGGGGGACCTAGACTTCCCATTTCGGGATCAGGCTCAGCGAGGTACCGGGGAGCGCTGAAGACGCAAGGGTGGCCCGGATCTGTGGGTGCCCTAACCCAAATCCATTGACCTCTCCAGTCCTTGTCTGAAGAGTCGTTTGGCCACATGGTTAGGTATTGGGGCCGGGACTCAATCCGGTACCACCCAGAACCATGGCTTCCGTGCCAACTTTGAATATTTGGCACTAGCCGATGGAGCTTTTTGAAGCAGTGCAGGTTCGGCACGTACTTGAAGAACTTGCAGACCCATAAGTATGTCATCACCCTTCGGATGCTGGTGGGAATTAACTGACATAGAGAGATGTTGTAATGGATCAGCAAGTCTCGGACGAATACGTCCAAAGGGAACCTCAGCCCGTACTGAAGCTGTCTTGTGTACACCCCCACATACCCCGGGGGTGGACGATGGATTCTATTGGATGCCGAGGGCATTCGGCACCAATACCCATCAGCTTCAAAAATTCCGTAATGCAACTCAATTTGCTCGGCAAATCGATATTGATCGGCATTCTCCACCCACCATGGGTAGGGGCGGTTCTTTATCATGGCCGAAGCAACTTCGGCATTCTCCCATTCTGAAAACCCGGGGAGGATATCCCAAAGGACAGCGGGAACTTCATCATCCCGTCCAGAGGCGCTCGGCTCCTCCGTTCTCTGAGGAGGAGCCGAGGAAAGGGGAGTCGCCCTAATCCCTTCAGCAGGATCAGACTCTGGCCTTTGTCCATTCCAGGTCCCAATCCTGTTCCTAGGATCGGGAATCGGCCTTGCTCTTCTTGGAGCACGGGCTCTACCTCTAACTCCTCTTGCCATTGATTATTTCGAAGAAAAAAGTCGAAAGAAAAGGGGAAGGAGTTCGAATTCGAAGAAAAATAAACTGAAATCAAAGGAATTTACCTTAATCTGAAGCGAAAGTTGCCGATTTACGAGTTCGTAGTGGCAAGTCTCAGTTTCTAAGCTTAATGCTCGGGGAATTTGCGAAGTTTTGATGCGGGTTCTTGGTTTCTCTCTCGAGAATTCTGGGTTTGTGTTGGTGAATAAGTGAGGAGAGATGACGCGCCTCTGTTTATATCTCCAGGTACGGGATACGAGGAGTCTGCGTTTTAATTTCTCTTAAGTACTCCACTAAGTAACCGTTAAACACATGATCTTGTGATTAAACTGCCCATTATCCGTCCAACTTCCACAATCATTAATCGTTGTTATCTCATTAATTACGGTTTAAATTCAAATTTTTGGATTAATTAAATCATTTACTTCCCTCCTTTTCTGAATTAAATCAAATCCGACCCGTCATCCTTCCAAATCGGGTCTGGGGGGCAAGTTGTTTGGGTCCAATTTAGTCCAATTGGGCCTAAGCACTAAATGATCCAATTAAAAGCCCAAGGTCAAGGTTCAACTCTCCAATTGTGCTAAAGTCAAAGGTCAGCCCACAAAGCAAGCCAATTGGGCTAAGGCCCAACCTCTCCATGTATAATGAGGTATAAAGCATCATATTGATAGATTCAAGGAGATTCATTCTGATTCATTCATAGATTCATATGTTCATTCATATATTCTGATATATTCCATAAAAGCCTCAAGCAACAAACTCTCTTACATAGTGTCTTCTTCTTACACATTGTACTGACTTTAGCATCGGAGGGGCCTTCCTCGGCAACACCCCCGAGGCTAGTTTACGTGTGTTTACTGTGCAGGAAATCTTCGGCCCAACATAACTTGGACCGAATCCAGCCTTCTCCATTTCAGCGGACCTTCGGCAAGGTCCCATTGTTTTCACCCGAAACAATAACAAAAATGCAGTACATGACTTCAAATCATAACATTAATCAAGACAAACACTGAAATTAGCTAATAGCCTTGCAATTAAAACTTTAAACTAGTCATAGTCACACGAATTATATTACCACCTCCGTTTTTACGTTTTATATTATTTGCAACGATTTTACATATACTAGCGAAGAAAAATGTCTAATCGTTGCAAATAATATGAAACGGAGATATTATTTTGCTTTTGAAAAAAAAAAACCCGAAAACAAAAAACTATAAGGAACTGGCAGTAGATTACCTGACTTGAAGGAGAAGCAGCACATTTGGATTTCCTTTCCTTAACAACCTCAGAGGATGAAAAGGGTATTTTTGAAGAAATGCCAAGTTTTTTAACAGAACTAAGAAAAGATGGTTGGAAAGATTTAACAAGGAGTTTGTCATTGGACCTATTATAAGTATAGTTATGATTAAAAGAGTGAAAGATTTTGGGAATAGCCAAAGCTGAAGACATGATGATTGATTGAATGTTAATAGGAAAATGAAAATGTAAGAAAATATGGATGAATGAACAACTCAGAGAGAAAATGTGGAAGGAACAAGAAAAGGGTGGAGATTTAAGGAGAATTAAAAGGGAGGGAATGTTGTTCACTCGCAAAAAATTAAACAAGGTACAAGTTTTGATTTGACTCAGGAAGAATTTATAACCATAACAAGTTAGAGTCCAAGGATTAGTAGTACAAATACTTGTGTGTGGACCTTTAGGACTTTTTCGATTCAAGTTCGATTATTAGTTAGGAATTTATTTTCACGTAATCGCACTTTTGTTAACACTAAACCTTATTTAAAACTTTTAACTCCATTTAGGACTTGTTTATTATCAAAGTTTTTTTTGTTTTGCAGCTCGTCTTGTATGCGGTCGGCCAGATCGTGTAGCCACTTAAAGTAACCCCTATAACATTGATTAAGTAACCCCTGTTATACCGACCGAGTTATCCTATAACACTGACTGAGTAATTCTTTAACACCGACAAAGTAACCCTTTTAACACTGATCAAGTAGCCCCCATTACCCGAAAAGTAATCTCTATAGTGGCTAGCCCCACATATAAGACTTTGTGTTTTTGTTTTCTAATTTTTTTTTAATTGAAAATTCTTTTTGATAATACTTAACTTTTTATACTACCTCCGGTCCACTTTAGTTGCAACTTTGGGGGGGTTTGCGGAGGTCGAGGCAAAATTTCCTAAGCAAGTTTAATAAAAAGATAAGGGTATATAATTAAGAATTAATCAAGTAATAAAAAAACCCACCACCACCAACCCAGCCACGACCACCAACCCAGCCACGGCCAACCCAGCCACGACCACCAAACCACCGACCCAAGAAACACGACCCCCAACCCACCGATTCCACCAGCCACGACCCCCAACCCACCGATTCCACCAGCCTCGACCACTAAACCACCGACCCCTAGAAACCCAACGACCCCCGTACCCACCGACCCCTAGAAATCCAACAACCCCGAAACCCACCGATTTGAAAACCCAACCACCGATTTGAAACCCACCACCCCCAACCCACCGATTTGAAACCCACACCCACCGATTTGAAAACCATCGACCCCGAAACCCACACCCACCGATTTGAAAACCACCAACCCCGAAACCCACCAATTTGAAACCCCAACCCACCGATCCCTACCGATCTTAAACCACGAGGAAGGAGAGGAGAGAGAAATCGCCGATTCACGCTCAATTCTTCGCCGTGAAACTTTGGAACTCACCGAAAATCGCCTTAATTGGACTCGATCAAGCGACAGGTTGAGGATGAGAGAGAAAAAAATTTGGGGATGAGGAAGATTATGTAGAAATTTGATGAATAATGGTGATGAGGAGGAAGATGAAGGAGGGTGAAGGTGGCTGGAATTTGTTTCGGTGGCTAAGGGGTTGATTTGGCTGAAAATAGGTAACTTAATTAATATTAGGGTTTAAACTAATTAGATAAGATCAGTTTTGTAATTAGGGTGTTTTTTTAAATAAAAGTAAGGGTAAAAGTACTAGGGGTGAGCAAAAAATCAGGGTACCCTGAATCGAAAACGGAGCCTGTTAGGAACCGCAGGTTCCGGAACCAGAACATGTACAAGAGGTTCCGGTTCTGGGTAACAAACTGGAGAACCTGTTGTAATAGGTTCCGGTTCAGGTTCTCAATTTTTTGGAACCGGAACATGTAGGGTACTCTGTATCTGATAAAAGTATCACTTAATTTCAAATTATACACTAATTCTTACTCAATTTTTAAATAATAAATATCAAAATTACAATTATAAAAATATATATATTAAATTTGTTAAACAACTACTATTAGTTTGTCTTATTTGCAAGTTGCAAACATTATAAATTAGTGACCAACCAGTTTTTTATTAAAAATTCCGCGAAAAAGTTAGTGAGTATATTATAATACAGGGTACCCTGAATCGGAACCGGAACCCGGTTCCGGTTCCGGTTCCCAATTTCCAGGAACCTGTTCAATAGGTTCCGGTTCCAGTTCTCATTTTGAGGAACCTGTTGCAACAGGTTCCGGTTCCTGGAATTTTTACTAGGTACCCTGTTATGCTCACCCCTAGGTAAAACCACTAAAAAGTTACTAAAAAAGGAAAGAAATGGAAAAGTTGCAAGTAATGTGAACCGGCCCAAAAATGAAATAGTTGCAAGTAAAGTGGACCGGAGGTAGTATTAATCTTTGATGAATGGAAAATTATCAAAATAACTCAATTGAAATCCAATAACAACTAAAGTGATCCAAAATAAATTATACTTTTGACGCGTATGGATACACTTAGGGCCTGTTCTCATTGACTTAACTCAGCTAAACTGAACTGAACTAAACTGAACTGAACTACTGAGCTGAACTGAACTGAATTTCAACGTAAGAGAACAGACCCTTACACTACATAAACCATTATCCGGTATTTAGACTCGATCAGAAGCTGGCCATAGACCCAATTCGACAACTCTTCTTTAATAATAGGGTATAATCTATAGGACTATAGGTCTATAGCTAGACAAGTGAAAGACTGAAAGCCTAAAGGAGTTTCAATTTTGTAACATGGGCTTGTCAAAGAGAATCCTAACAAAATTTGGTCCATGAAAAACAACATCCAATTAAAAACCCAAATCTTTCAAATTCTATCTCTTTACTTCCAACAACAAAAAATGGCTAACAGATGAAGCAGAAACACCAGCAGCAACAAAGAAAGAAGAAGAAAACACAACTTTAAAGAAGAAGAGAGAGAAAATGACTCATCTTCTTCTCCTACACCATCTCCCCTACTTCCCTACATTACCATCATCATCAAAGTTGTTTTCAATGGGAAAATCAACGGTTGGATTGTGCACCCACAGGAACAGTTTCCGTGTACCTGAGCAACAGAGAATGAAAACCATAAAATGTATGGCAAATCCAAGAAGAGTAGCAATGGTTGCTAAACAAATAAGAAGGGAGCTTTCAGATATGTTGCTGACCGACACCAATTTGCAATTCGCTGTTCTGCCCGAAGCTGCCCTTGGTGCTGACCGTTATCTTTCTTCTGTTACCACCATTAGTGATGTTGAAGTTTCCGCTGATTTGCAGGTCTTTTCTTTTAATTGGGATTTTGTTTTTGCCTTTATTTTTGCCCCTTTTGGGTTAATTTTTGTTTTGAATTTCTGGGTTTATTTGATTTTGCCTGTGTTAAGTTTGTTAATTGAGAAATGTGAAATGTCTATGATTTGGTTGAAGTGTTTTGTGAATTGTAATTATTGGGTGTGGGTATGAATGAATTTGAGTTACTATTCAAGTTAAAAGTATATGCATTTTTTGATTTATGAGTTGGATTGATGAAGGACAAGGGTTTGAGGAAAATAATAGTTTCTCCAAGCATTGTACTAAATATGTGATGTATTAATGAAAATTGAAAAGTGACTTATGGAACTGAAACTTGGTTACTCTTGTTGGGCTTGGGTGCTTGAGCAGACGTATTGCGCGGCTGTGTTGTGTGAATTTTGCAAGTTATGGTCCGAAAAGGAGTATTAATGTCAATGCCTATGTTGTAATTTGAGGTGAATTGAAGAGTCTTGAGTAATTTGGTTTGATGATAACCTCAACCGGCTATACGCTATTGGATCCTGGTTTCTGAAGCATACCTGTAATGTTGCTTAATGCTTAGTGGCGCATTGGATGTAATAGTCCAGTTATCATGAAAATTGATCATAGCAAGAAAGAACTGTTGTAAAAATTACCTCATATGGATGCATGGTAAACATCTGCATAGTCACACCGATCCTTGTGATATTGTCTACCTACATGGGCTCCTAAGTTCCTAGCCTACATCAACTTCTGTATGCTAGAAACTTGATAGGAATTTTCTTTGTAAGCTTGATTACCAAGGAACTCATAGCTCTTTTTACCTTAACTTGGTAGACTTACACCTTCATGCTTCTGCATTGATATACTTTAGAGCTGAAGCCACAGCAGTATTGGTTAATCCTTTCTTTTTATTGTGTCAAAGATATATGAGATGTTGTACACTCTGCTGGTCACTGCATATTCTGTATATGAAAATCTTTGACACCCATGAGCTTCACCTAAATTGTTGGTGCTATCTTAAAAAAAATTCCAGCTAAAATGTTATTGATCTCCTGATGTTTGAGCTCCATCATAAGATCCATTGATTAGTTTGTCACTTGCATATCAGATTTTTCATCAGATTCAATTGCTAATCTTCCCTGGCCTTGCTATTTAAACTAGGAAGCTTTTTCCTATATTGTTTGTTCCGTTCCTTGTACAGTTTATTGGGTCAGGCTTGTGGTTCAAAGTAATCTCTTTGTTGTACGGAGTATTGAACAACTTTCATGCTAATCATAAGCATGGAAACTTTGAGCTGTTACAATAATGTTTACTGTAAATTGATATAGTTTCTTTACATTCTAGGTTGTCAAAGTTTATGTGTCGATTTTTGGCGATGAAAGAGGACGTGAAGTTGCCCTTGCTGGCCTAAAAGCTAAGGCAAAATATGTGCGGGGTAAACTTGGAAAGCGCATGAAGTTGAGGCTGACTCCTGAAATTCGATTTCTAGAGGATGAATCTTTGGAACGAGGAAGTAGGGTAAGAGCTCAAATTTAGTTATGTTCTTACGTATTATCCGCCGAACTGATGAATAATTTTTTAGTGCCTTCAAACCTGGTCTTTCTTTACTCCTGTTTAACTTTGTAATACCCTTTTGATGGTGATATTCCTTATATGTCTAAAAGTGAGCTGAGTATCTCTTTATATTTTTGCTCAGACTATAATGTATACAAAGATAAGGTTGATGAATGAAGCTGTTATGAACTGAATTATACGAAGTAGATAAGTTGCAGTATCTTGATAGGTTGTTTCGTTATCAGATTTTAATTGGTTATAAGCTTGCAAGTACATCTTATAGAGCCTAGAGAAAAATGCGAATAAAGGTTGGTGGATGGATTCTATCAGGTCATGTACAGGGTATAGTCGCATAATCATGTCCCCTACCTTGCTGGATGTTAATACGTTTTATCTCCACCCTTTATGGTGTTGGCTATTTTGGCAGGACAACACAAGCCTAGAAATGTTCTAAATCTTGAATTTGACTTTTCAGGTTATTGCGATATTGGATAAGTTAAAGAACGAGAATGAGCAAAAAGATGCCATAAGTTCTGAAGAAGAGGAAGATCCGCCTTCTGATGATGATAATTGGGAGGATGACAATGATGAAGGCATTATCTATGTCAGATAGATATTTCTTGAGATGTGGTGTTGCTTCAACTTTGCTCCATTGCCCTCAGGTTAGGTCTCTCATTGCGTTTGTGTCCATTACTGCTTCAGTTGGACCGAACAAGGTTTCTGTTATTTTCAAAACAATCTATAGTGGTTGGTGCTACGAAGATCTTCAAATTGATTATATCTAGCATTACAATGTGATGATATTCTGACTTTAACTGTAATCTAACTCTGAATACTACTCTCAGAGGAAAACAGGGTTGCCTTGGTATCAAGGATTTAGGGGGTTGCATTTGGTTAAGAGAGCACTAGTGTTCTGTAATATACCCACTTTTGTTTAGTGGTAGCCTCAAGTGACGTGTATTTGGGATAAGAAAATGAGGCAATTATTGAGTGATTCTGTATTATGTCATGGTTTAGTCTCAAGTTACTTAAATTTTGGAATAGAAAATGAGGCAAATTTAGCATAAAAGGTTTTCATTTTTGTTTGAGCGAAAGGTTTTCTAAATGTTTCTACGAAAGCACTTTGTTTTTTTGGTTAGTACAACACTAAGTCACTAACAATTGTTCTAATGCTGTGCCATACATGTTGCAGGGCCACAGAGAAATAGTTTCTGTGATAGGGGCTTTCCGAAAAAAGTCTTGTGGCGAAGAGGCTTCTTGCATAAAGTCGTGCTTGCACCAGTGAGTAAAGTTAGACAGAAGTTTGATTAAAGCATAACTGCAATATGTAATTCATTCAAAGGCGTGGCGCAGATTTTTAACTTGCAAAGGAAATGCCCTGTAAATAAATAGAGCCTATAGTGAGTGTTAAATATACTATGTATGTATTATGCTTCTGCATCTCTGATTGTCTTTTTTTTTTTTTTTTCCGCTTAAAATGTTGAATAATGACGAGTTTCTCTTCAATTAGAAAGTTTTGTTCAATTTTGTATATTTGTTTTATTTTATTTTTTATGATTAGTTATTAAAATGCATTTACAAATCTCACAGATTTGCCACTGGATCAGTATTATATCTATGGTGTTTGACTATGTGAACTTTGTAAAGGTTTTCAGTAATATGATGCCACTCTTTTCTCAGGGCAAAAGTAGAGTTATTAATTGATAAGATGGCACCATTGCACATACGCCCCAAACTTCGTATTACATCAGCGCTAAAAATTATACCACACTTGATTAATGAGTGTCATTGTACTAGATGCCCATAACTATCCTTAATAAGAAACAGGAAAAGCAGAACTTGCAGACACAAGAGTAGTAAGCTCTAATTTTCTGAACATTTATTTATTTGACAATATAATCTGACAGTAGAATGTGTATCACTCTTCACAGTCAAAATAACAAAGCCAAGCAAAAAGCTCAAGCAAAGCAAGAGTCAAAAGCTAAGTACACCTGAGCACAAAGCAAAACAATTTATTAATCAAAATTTAATGAAGATAAAATCATCTCAAGATGATGTTTTCATTTGAGCAACTAAAATCAATTTGTTGTCATTATGTTGATGGTCATTGAGCCACAAAAATTTGTAAATAAGAACATGCACAACTACGAGTATCAAGGTCTACAAAAGCCTCTTGGTGAAGTGATAAATCGACAAACTTTTTTATGCATCCTTCCCCTCAGCATTTATCCCATTCACTATCTATCAGTGATGGGCCTCTGCCTGGGCTCCTGTCTTAGCTTCAGCTTTCTTATGTGACTTGGCCTTCATCTGATGAACAAAGGACAATAGGTTCAGTAATTTGCTAATTCCTATATCCACAAAGACAAATAAGAGGAACATACTTCTTGCAATGATTGGTGTCAAATACTACAATCCAAATTCCAAACCCAAAATACAGAATCAATATAGAATTCTATATAATGCAAAAGTGGAACATAGGGAAGCACTAGCAAGTAATGTAGAGTGCCACAGCATGCAGCTCCTCATTTGACAATATAATTATCAATGCACATTTGAATGGCCTTAATTATCAACGAGGTGGTCTGTCCGTGCTTTGCTTGAAAACAGGGGACAGTTATTTCTTTCCCCCAGTTTAGTATAGGGAGATAATACTTGATTCCCTATCTCAAAGCAGGAATGCCACATTTCCAACAACTGCCTTAACCCTTTTTACCCTTCCCTCCATTACTTTTTGCCATCTTCTTTTGCTCTTTCCTCCTTAACATTTCTATCAAGTAAAATGAACTATACTAGATAGCAATCCATTCAAAATGATACCCTTCAAGCTATCACAGTCTAAAAACCAAATACAAGCTGCCCTCCACAACAAAACTAAGTCCATAAAGTTCAGTATTCCCTCTGATAACATAGAAGCAAAGACTAAGCATATGGCCATATCATGCAAATTATCATCCTCATGAAAAATTTATTGACCAAGAAGTTCATAACAATTTAATACACTACAAAATACCACAGTAAAAGCAAAAAATTAAAATACAATACAGATATAGAAATCAGATACTTAGTTAAGATCAATCCCGAATAATACTTTACAAATATGAAGGACACTAGTAGGGCAGCAATCAATCTTAATATTCACAACAAATGGAGTGTGGGTCAAGACAAGAAAAAGAGCGAGTCAAGCAAGGAAACAGAACAAATTGCCCCGTGATCAATTCCATAATCTTTAGAATTAGCAAAGTGATATGATTGTCACCTCAAATGAAGCACATTACTTCCCAGCAAACTTTGAAATGGTTACTAAATTTGAGTCATATTATCAACAAGACAAACCCTCATAGTTCTTCATTCGAGATACGAGCAAAGTTCATACTCCGTATTATATCTTCCACAACAATCAGGTGGAAAACAGAACAGCAAAACACAGATCACACAGGCATTGAACAAATGAACAGCTGATTAATACAAATCATCCTTGAACCCCCCAAAATCACCAAATTCATCCAAAATTCAAACAAGAATAATATCAACAGTTCAACACAATTCATATATATTTTTTAAACAAAACCCAGATCAGTTTTAAAATTTATTCATCAAATATCCATAAACCTAAATCAGATCTCTCCACATTCTAGCAAATGAATAGTACACATCATCACACCAACAAATCGAATAATTTAATAATAAATTTAGAGAAAATAAAGCAAAATGACCTTGAGAACTTTGAGCTTCATGTTTCCGTAGACCAATCCAGCGGTGAAAGCTGATGCACGAGCTACCTAAAAACCCCAAAATTAAGCCAAAAAAAACCCATAAATTCCTCTTCAAAACCCTAAATTAAGAAGAAGAACAACAACAAAATGAGTGAAAACAAATTGATTAAATTTACCAATGCGAGAGTGCTGGTGCCTCTGTAGAACTGAGGAAGTGAAGGTGCCATTGATCTTCCTTCGATCTGAAAGAGAAAGACTGAGAAAGAGGGAAGATCTTCGAGAAATTGAGGAGAGAGAATTTGCAGAAAAACCCTAAATTGTTTTGGGAGAGGAAAGAGAAAGAAAAAGGGTGTGAGTGGGTGGAAGAGAGGTTTGTTACGGTGAGTTGTTGCTTACGTCAGGGTTGACTCTATTGGGCCTGACTACTAAATTTTTGGAGCTTGGGTTTATAAAAATGGTTTGTTTCATCTAATCGGGTTTTATGGATTGACCCGATTAATATGACTCGCATAATATGACCCGAAAACTATCCAAAATTTTAAAGTCTGAATTGTTTTGACCCGACCTAAAATGTAATTGACTGAAGGTTTGTGTTTTTGTTTTTGCGGGGAACATTGACTAATCTAGGAAAAGTGCGGGTTTGAACAGATCGAACGTGTATTTTCAGGCTAAAGAATAGAGACATAGAGTCGACTAGCTGACCTAAAATGTTTGTCTTAATTTAACGAGTTTGGGCATGGATTGATGAATATTATAACTTTTAGGCTAAAGAATGAACTCTGCATGTTAACTTGAAATGTTTGTCTCAATTTAGCGAGTATGGACATAGATTGGTTAATAGGATACTAGTAATCAAAACCGGACTTGATGTTTTGATCAATTTGAAGATAAAACTCAACTTTCACGGCTTTGTCATATGGTCTAATTGGTATTTTGCCTAGTAAAAGATTGCTATGCCTTCTTGGAAATCTTAGGAAAGCTCAAGCTATTGAGGTCTTAACCGTGAACTAAATTATTAAGTCAAATTCTAATGACTGTTTTCCTTCGTCCCTTCATTCCAGAATATTATAACATCTACTCATATATAGTTCTTACTTCGTAAGAACTCAAATGCTAATGGTTTCAATACAAAAGAAGCTATATACTACTTCGTATGAAGCAAGACAATCTGCTCTTTAGGGAAAGAAAACATTTAAGAAAGAAAGATACACAAATTTCGTACAAAAAAAGACGAAGTATATGTTTAAATAAAGCTTTATACTAGTGGTTTCAACACATTTGCCTTCCCTTGGCCCTAAATTAAGGATCTCCGTCCAAACTCCACTTCCACAGCACAAGCTGAAAAATACTAATGGAGAAGACTAAGGAGCTTCAAGATTCAAAACCCGAATATCCACTGAATGAATCTCCTGATTCCCACAGTTTGTTCCAACACATGTGGCTTGAATAAATGAGCGAACAATATATAAAAAATATTGGTAGAGAATACCTCAGCACAAAACGCTGAACATTACCCGGAACCAAAGACCATAAGAAACTTGAAGCTAACAAAAGCTACCAGTACTTCGTTAGCTTCATCACAGCCCTTGCAAAATACAAGTACATATTTTGGGAGTTAACCAAGGAGTGCAAAGGAGCATGTAACGAGCAACAGTAGCAAGGAACAGTTGAACAAGGCCTCGTCAAACTGGTTAAATTAAGCTCTCTATTATTCCGACTGTAATGGTTGAACAGAATCATAATGTGGGAGTATACATCAATAAAGTAATGTAGCTGCAACATTTGTTGCTATTTTAATTATGTAAACAACATGATGAGCTATAAATCTTGATGTACAAGTAATTGAGCAAAACCTGCTACTCCTGCCAGAGGGCGCTCTAATATCAGCCGTTTTCTATACTGTCATAGGCATTAGATTTATGTTTTGGTGCAAACTTAAAGTCAGGAGGAACCTTGCCAAGCAACATCTCAGAGATTCGAATCTGCAACAAAGTGACAATAAGAAAGAACACATCAAGATTTATACACGGCTTTATCAAATCAGCAAATAGCTAAAGTCACTGACCCAATCAGCTGCAGATTCAGAGGCCATTAATGTCTCTAGGTCGTTGCGACCATAGTACGAAGGTGGACGCCAATTAATTTTTTGTGGAATGACGTCAAGCAAACCAACAGGGATGTATCTAAAAGTATAGCTAAGCCATTGCAACAAGAAGAACCTTGTAGTCTCCACTCCTACACAAAATTTCACAAGAATTTAGTTGACAGGATATAATAAAGGCAGAACCTCAAATTCCATGTGATAGCTTACAGAGTTTTCGTTCGTTCCAAGCTCAAAATCTGTTAAAAAGATTTTACTTGAAAAGTGACTAAAAGTAATAACATTTACAGGTACGGCTTCTCTTCGTATGTTAATACGTTCCCCTCTTTGTGATAAAGCTAGCTTTGTATTTTTTACATTAATCAAATGTTTACAGAGTCAATGGGAATGTCAAAGAGAAGAGCACTCTTGCTCCATATAGTTTAAAATTTGATGCTCGAGAGAGCACCAATTCAGCAGAAGAGGAATGAAAATGAAAGACATACTTGGATTTTCTAAACAGCCTACTCATGTTAGAGCATGCTTTAAAAGTATCTTCTGCCTCTTAATATTAGTCATGCACATTTATATGATAGCTACATCTATGAATATATTTCATACAAGACCCAGACTATGATAATAGGTTATACCAACCTTTTGAATCAGAACCCCAGTGCTCAAGGCCAAAACGTACATAGTCTCTTAGTATATCTAGTCGTTCACCAGAACTGATATCCCAATGTCTTTGTTCTTTAATTTCAGTGAATAACCATGGCTGCAATGTAAATAAAAAGGCTTGAGGTTAGAGCAATAACAAGAAGAAACAACTTTTACGTATCACTTACATGGAAGGAGCAAAATGAAAGTTTATACAAACCTTAACCAAAGCTCCTCGAGCGATCATGCATGAGGACAGCTCAGGGCAGTCAGAAAAATGTTTATTCCAATCTGTATATGAAAAGACATCTCCATTTCCTAGCACTTGAAATGTGCCAGGAGCTTTACTGACACAAGTGTTTATGTAATCCCAATCAGCAGCTTTGCTATATCGCTGCTGTCTAGATCTCCCATGTATTGTTACAGCAGAAGCTCCCCACTCATAAATTTGAGATATTAAAGAGTCAGCACGATTCCTTCCTTCCACATATCCTGTTCTAACCTGAAGTATTGATTTTAAAAAGAAATTAAGATTGATATGACGAACACTATAAAAGGCAAACAAGAGGCAGCAACCATGAAGAATTAAGCCAAGAACCAAAATTACAACAGAATAAGTGCCAGCTTAACATACATAGCATTAAATATCAAAATCAAAAAGAGAATTTACAGAGACAAACTCCATCAGGCAACTGGAGTCACAACAAGATGTATCAACAGTAAAGAGTTACTCTTGTACCCAATAGACAACCATAACAGAAGCAAGTCGTCACATGTATACAGGGCTGAAGAAGAGACATCAAGAGAGTACCTTAACAGTTATAGGTCTCTCTGCAGAAGCACAAGCTGCTTGTATAACATTTTTCATCCGCAATGGTTTTGTAAGAAGAGCAGAACCGGCTCCCTTATTAACGACTAAATCAATTGGACATCCCATATTGATATCAATAAAATCCAGTGAGCATTCTTGGTCAATAAGCTCAACAGCACGTGCTACGGTATCTGGATAAGCCCCACAAATTTGTACACCAAACAAATCCTCGGATTTATGTCGCCTAAGCAATGCCCATTCAGAAGCTTGGCCCTTCATAAAGTTTAAAAAAAAATAATAAAATAAAATCAAGGGTTGCATTGCAAAGCACCACTTTGTGTAAAATAACCACCCTTTATACTAGAAATATATTGCATGATTCAATAAAATGAAATCGAGCAGCATCAATGTTGTTTTTTATATACGAAAATAAGAAAGTAACATGGAGTACCAGCACTGACCTCAAGAAGATTTGTGCACATTGCCATTTCACCACATGTCACATCTGCACCAAAATCCTTGCAAACTCTGCGAAATGGAAGGTTCCCAACAGTGGTAAGGGGTGCTAGATATAGCTTCCCACGGAAATCTATAAGTTTCCTTTCACGTGGCAGTAACTTTAAGCTGGCATCAGTTTCAGGAGGCAGGCAATTGTTTGTACTAGGTGGCTTATCTTCGGTAGAGTCCTTCACTAAACCTTCACCTGAGACACTTGAACCTGTAGTTACAAAAGCATAATCAGCCACGCAAATTTTAACAAGATTTATAAAATATAAGAATCAACCAGTAACATTCTCCAGTTACAACCATTATTTAAGTCATTGGAGGAATCTCTCTCATCATCACCAGATTTTGATTTCTTTAAGGGTCGTTTATCATCAACGCCCAATATGCCATCGGTCAATGGCTCTTCAGGAAGCACAGCAGATGGATCTTGTGTATTAGCAGAATCATGCTTCTCACAGCCTTTATCCTCTGAACAATGGGATCCATTGGAAACTTTAGGAGCAATACTTTCTTCTTCTTCAGAATCTTTTACTCTTGTGTGGCCCCTCCCCTGCAAAGGTAACAGCAGTGGTTTAAGTGGAGCAAAAGCACATACATGAAATATCATGGTATGCCTAAAAGAAAGTAGATTGTGTGCTTGCATAGCTGAAACTTGTTCATTTTCAGGTCTGAAAGTACATGTATGCTTGCACGCCTGTGTGCAAGAGGATAAAGATACTCATTCAAACACTTACCCCGAAGGAGCTCCTGCCAAAGTGGCAAGTCACAGGATGCCAAGAGAGAGTATCGTATCAACAAAACCTTAGGAGGAAATATGAGATGCAAATTCACAAAGAATGAAGATTCTACATGTATATTGAAGGCAATTATGCGCATGCCCAAATATATATCCAACAATAAAGCTAATGATCAAGCATAAATTTAGCAGCAAGATTCAAATGCGGCCAGTATCCAAGGTTTAAACATGTGGTAAAATTGACAGTTGATTCCAAAGCAGCCAAGCCACAAACAAGAGCTCCAAATTTCTTTCTCTCATTGAAGATCACAAAGTATATGAGATGGGCAGAATTTATGGTTAAAGCCAGTATCTTACCTCTAAATTACTAACAACCTAGAAAAACAAGTACAAAAGAAATATTGATTCAATATTTAGCTCATACCTCTACCCCAAGCTGCTTGAGAGCAACATTGGACTTTGGGAACTTCATTTTATTCTTCCAAAGAAGCTTCTGGACATCTTTCTTCAACATATTCACTTCAGAGTCTTCCTTCAAAGCATCCAAATTATCATTAAGAACATCTT